TCAATACCGATTTTTTTAATTAATGTACCATGGCCTCTGCCAATGAAGGAACAAAAACACAGTGGAAAGAGCCTAGGTTTTAGAGCCTACCCTTTTAGGTGCACCATTTACATTGGCCACGTGCAAGTCACTTTACCCCTCTCTGCTTCCTCACCTATAAAGTGGGGATCACAACACCAACCGCAAGGCCCTGTTAGGAGGATTAGATGGAAATTGCATGTAAAGTCTTTAGCATAGAACGTGCCAGAAAGCAATTCTGTTGTTGGTTCACAAACACATACAGCTCTCATATAAACTGTATGCTAGACATCATTCACATAGTAGGGGGAATCCTAGGTCACAATCAGTTCACTTAATCCTTATAATATTCCTATGAAGCAAGATCTATTTAAGCCTCCTTTGCAGTTGACGAAATTGAGACACAGAGAGGAAAGGCAACCTGCTCCAAATTCTGTTATCTAGAAGTGGCAGGGCCAGGATTCATAGTAATTACAAAGTCCAAACTATGCTTCTCTGCCTCTACAGCAAGCACGCAGTGAATGTTAGTTCCTGTTCCTCTCCTAGTTTGATTATAGGCCATATGTGACCACGTTGTAAGACTGGGATTTTCAGTAGCAAAGGACACATAGCCAGATATTCCCATGGTTCACTGTTTTGTCTTGTTTTCAACTACAGCCTGCTCCTCTGAAATCCAATTTCAGACAAGTACGTAGGTCAAGAACTTCCCTCTCATCTTGTCCTCCTGCTATCTCCTCCCCCACTATCTACCAGAGAGATACATGGCTATGTAAAAACAAGATAAGAAGTGAAAAGGAGAAAGACAGACACAGAGAAAGAGAAAATAAAGAAAAAGGGAGGGTGCCCATGAAAGCAAGCATGCACGCCCTTCAGAACAAAGTCAAAGGAGGATTCAGCCAAGTTATCCACAGGAACGACTGCCCACACATACGGGTGCCCAAGGCAGAAGCAATCTATCCGCCTGGAGACCAACTACATAAAATCTCAGCTCCCAGAAGACCAAGGTAGCAGAAAGAGCCATCTCCTCCAACGGCTAAAACCTCAACATGAAGAGAGCTTTCCATTTTTCCCTCTATAACTGCGGTCCCCAACCCTCCCTGGTGGGTACTGGCCTATGGCTTGTTAAGAACCCGGCTGCACAGCAGGAGACGAGTGGCAGGCAAATGAGCCAGTAAAGCTTCAACTGTATTTACAGCCACTCCCCATTGCTTGCACCACCGCCTGAGCTCCACCTCCTGTCACATCAGCAGTGGCATTACATTCTCATAGGAGCACTAACCCTACTATAAACTGCACATGCAAGGTCTAGGGTGCGACTTCCTTATGAGAATCTAATGCCTGATGATCTGAGGTGGTGATGCTAGCACTGGGGAGCACATGCAAATACAGATTATCATTAGCAGAGAGGTTTGACTGCACAATAAATGTAGCACACCTGAATCACCCCGAAACCATCCCCCCTCCCCCTAGGTCCATGGAAAAATTATCTTCCATGAAACCAGTCCCTGGTGCCAAAAAAGTTGGGGACCGCTGCTCTATAACACTGCATTTGCCCTAATGCCAACCACAAAGGGAATTTCATTCCCAAAATAAATCGCTTGACCTCACTTCTCCAATGGCTCAGGATTAGTGACATCACAAAGCACTACACAAATCCTCAGAAATACTGGAATAACTCTTTAAGGTAAAAAACACTTGGTATTTTACTAAAAGACTAAATCGTTTTGATTTTACTACATGGAATCCAAAATGCTTTCAATGTTTTCACCTTCAAAACCTTTTGAGAGCCGGGTGCGGTGGCTCACGCCTGTAATCCTAGCACTCTGGGATGCCGAGGTGGGTGGATTGCTCAAGGTCAGGAGTTCGAAACCAGCCTGAGCAAGAGCGAGACCCCGTCTCTATTATAAATAGAAAGAAATTAATTGGCCAACTAATATACATAGAAAAAAAATTAGCCGGGCATGGTGGTACATGCCTGTAGTCCCAGCTACTTGGGAGGCTGAGGCAGGAGGATTGCTTGAGCCCAGGAGTTTGAGGTTGCTATGAGCTAGGCTGACGCCAAGGCACTCACTCTAGCCTGGGCAACAAAGCGAGACTCTGCCTCAAAAAAAAAAAACCTTTTGAGAAAAAGTCTGCTCTAAAACCTTCAGGAAGCCTGAATGCTGGTCTGTTTTGTGTCCTGATTCACGCGTGGGAAGATGGGGAACAGACCAGCAGCCAAGAACGGTAGCTCTCTGGTCTCACAGTGCTCATCTGACTCAGTTCCCCAGGTGCTGAGGCCTCACTGCGGAGGCTCCCAAATCAACTTCCTCTCACTCTCAAAGTCACAGGCAGGTCAGACGCTGCTCCCAGGAACCTAAGGCAGTTCGTCCTAAGGAGTCCAGTCTCCATCTCCCTGTTAGCCACCATGATTCCCTTCCAAGGTAGCAACAGAAGCATAACTCCCCCATGTTGATCAAAGAGAGGGAGCTGAGTGAGGATGTTTTCTTCCGAAAGCAGCTGGATGGAGGTGGGGGTGGCTGCAGGGCCAGGGCAGCAAACACATCTCCTACACCCCAATCCTGCAGGCTGTGCACTCCACGTGCTGAGAAACCTATAACTAGATAGATCGTTCTTCCCAAATGAGTTATAATTCCTAAAGCTGCTTGCCCAAAAGGACTGCCTCATTTTAAATTAGGTTAGCCACCAAGAGTCAGTAAATGTATTGCTGATTTAAGGACAAAAGAACCCACACATCAAGAACACGTGCACCCAGGAGTTACCCAGGGTACTCAAGACATGCTCCCACAACTAACACCACATCTGTCAATAACTAACAGATCCTCTTGTTCAGTTACAAGTCACAAAATCACAGTGTCATGAAAGGGAAAAGTCCAAAGGAACTATGGACATCATCTGATTTTTACAAAGGAGAAAGCTAAGACCAAGACCAAGAATAAAACTGTTCAAGCTCACTCAACTACCCAAATCCCAAAGCTTTTGACCATTCTTTTCCTAGCCTGTTGCTTCAGAGACCCAGTTACCAATAAGAGCTCTTACATAATTATTTTCTCATAAAAATATTTTTACGATTGAGTTACAGGCAAATTGGTTAAGTCTACCAGGGCTGCTATCTAAAAAAGTAAAATCTCAACAAAACAAAATCAGAGTGGACAAAAATTAACTTTTGCTTTGAATTAATTATATGTTCTCAGCCCTGAAACCTTATTCCTGAAGGGACAGTTCCTTTCCCAGTGTGCCTTGTGAAAAACAAAGTGCAGTAGTTATTCCCAACCAGGATTTCCAATACTGTGCCATTATTTTAGAATAAAACACTTTTTGGGTAAACAAATGGGAGTGTTACATGGTAGTATCCCAAAGCCCACCTTTCACTATTCCTAATAAAATCCTGTTCGAAGAAGGCTCCAGGATAAGTGCTTTTCTCTGCCTTTAGGGGAGGGGAGGGGCTGCAATTTCAGGTATAAAGAAGAGACTCTGAGAGCACCCCGCCAGGCTGAGGAAGAGAGGCCCAGAAAAGACGCGCAAATACAGAGAAAATCTAGAGCCCCGAAACTTTCTCCCCACAGCAGCTGAGATGTTTCATCCTAAGTCCATTTCACCAGACACAAAGAAGCGTCCTTGGCTACAGAGGTTATTATGAGAGCATAAAACAAACGCTGGAGGTTTGGGTTCTCCCTCTCCCCCGTGTGTGACAGGCTGAGTGACTCCAATGCTGCAGAAAGCAAAATTTTCCTTGTTTCCATTACATCATCCAAGTTGGAGAGGGGGAGGGCAGGGTGGGGGGCACAGCTGGTGGCAGCTGCACGGCCATCTGCTTTCCCCTTAGCAGTGTGCGCTAGTTTAAGCCACAGCCTCCGCCAGCTCCTGATAGAGGAGGCTACGTATTAAAGGAACAACACCCTATTATGGAAAGGATTTCAAGTTATTTAGAAATAAATCACACCCATGATAAGTTAACAACCTCAGGTAGGCTGCTGAGCAGGTTCTCTTTGAGTTTAGCTGATTTGTTTGCATCTCTCTAGACTCGGCTACAGTATTAAACTCTGTCAACTCCATGTGCCCAATTAGACAAGCAGAATGTACAAGCAACCACCTGCCATCTGCTTTCCAAAAGGTAAACAGCCAAAAAGTACAGGTCTGCAGCTGGAAGCATTTATGGAAGGAAGGGGGAATGCCCGAAGCCAGCAAGCAAGCCCCAGATGAGTGGATGGACACTTGCAGCCGCCTGTGGCATCCCAAGCCATCTGGTTACCCGGCTTCACCCTCAGCACTCCTGGCCGGTTACTGGCCTCATCCTCAGCATTCCTTCAGGGCACATTCCCCGAAGAAGAGACCCTTGAGAGTGACCCAGGGGGAGGAGGGTTAATGCCTAGTCTGACCGTTCAACTGCAGACTGGCAGCAAAGCAGCAAACTGGTGGTTCCGGGGGCTGATCAAGTTCATGCACGTGTTTCATCTGGCCTGCACAAGGTGGTTTGTTTTTTTTTGAAGTGCTGGCTTTTTAAAAAGAGTAGATGTCATCTAAACATCCAGATCGCTGGCGTTTCCTTCGGGGGTGGGGAGGTGGGGTAATCAAGAGATTTGGCAGCACCAGGCCCCCATTCCTGCATGGCACCAGCTGCCAGGAGTTAAGTGGCAGCACTTCCTTTAAACGAGGCCAGCGGTCTGAAGAACTCACCCCTGCCGTGTGGTGCCAGTCTATGCCACTGCAACTATCTACGCTCCTACCTGGACCTCAAGAGCTTCTGAGGTGATGCCACTGAGCAGACAGAAAAAGAAAAGCCCAGGAAGCAATTTCCCAATGGTCCTTTATTGACTCTCCTCTTTAGTCGAGAGTTAGTCCCTTGGGGGACCAACTAAAATTCTACAAAGCTCATTCAAGCCTCCATCATGAATGGATCTCCCTGGAAGGCCAGCTACCCTCTATCCCCTAGCACGACAGCAGTCTGTAGCATTTCAGAGGAGCGTTCCCAGGCCACTTACCATACATTTTGCCTTCATCCGATAAGATGATTTTCCTCCTCCCACATGGCGGATAGATAGCCAGGGCCTCCTGAAAGCTCTGCTCGATGTCAGGGCTCCAGACCCCTTCTGCGTCATTGTCAATTGGCTTATCTGTGGAGTCACTCATCCTTTCCATGTTTTCGGCAGGGCTCTCGCTGCCGCTCCAGCTGCTGGGCTCAATTTTGGCGGTGGGATTTTCCAAGCCGAAGCCTGGAGCCTTTTCAAGAAAATAAACCTGAAAGAGAAATCACAAAATGGTACGGTAAGGATGTGGTAACCATAAACACACTGCTCCCACTGAGTTCTACTGCAAGTTTCTTCGGTCGCCTGCTTTGCTTTGCTGGGAGAACAACTCCCAGGGGAGAACGTGGAATTCTGAGGTCCAAGTGGCTTTTGTTCTCCACACACCATTCTAAGCGCTCACACAGAAATGCAACGGCAGGCAGAAGGCTGGGTAATCTTCCCAGGCGAGAAGAAATTTTCATTCAAGAATAGTATTCACTCTGAGTTGCAAGTTTGCAGTGATTCATATAGAAACCACTCACCAAGTGCCTACTATCAACCAGGGGCACTCTGTTCAATGATAACCAAATCTCCGTAGCAGAACAAGTTGTTTATATGAAAACAAAGTACGATAAAAAAAAATACTATCCACTTCATTGTGACAACTGGCATCATAACTCCAAAATGTCAAACCATCCCAATATGAGATGGCCAAGATGGTGGCAGGATCGTGGAAGGAAGGAGGATGATGATTTTGCCATCACAAATAATCTATTAAGACACTGACGCCAGCTGCTCTGGACCTATAGCATTTTTGGGATTTTTATCTTGTGTAGTCAGGTTGCTCTGCCACTCTTAGACTCCTAGATTGTAACCTTGAAGCAGGGACCAAGTAGTCCCCATTCCTGTCTTTCCTGCAACACCTGCCACAAGCACCTGGCACACGTGTGAAAATATTCTGTATCGATATGGGGCACTTCATCTTGTAGCCTACTCTGAGTTCCTGATCCCATGAAAACTGCCGGGGAGTCTTTCATTTCTTTTTCTGTAGCACTGAAGATTACAGAACCAAAAGAAATCTTTCTTAAAGATTTATTCCCCTTAAATTATGCATGTAACCTATAGTCACAAAGGGATAAGCTTTCAAACAAATGTCAAACTGGCACAACACCAACATGAAAATGATCTAATCCAGTACTCCCCGCTGTCCGGCACACTAACATATCAATATTCCTTTGTGGAAAAGGCATCAGATCATTAATTCAAAGGCCTCCCAAAACAGGGGAGAAGAATTGCTCCTGAGGACTGATCGAAAAGGGGAGGCTTCCTGTGACCGCCGCTCTGCAGCTTCCTGTGCCCTCGAGTCCACGCAATGTCACAACAGCGGCACCCAGGAGGGAAACAGGTGCTGGGGGTGCACCAGGACTGTCCATGTTTTAGAGCTGTCACCTGACAGCCAACAACCTGTCTTCTTTTCCTCTCTATCCCAATTGTATCCCACCCCCTGCCCTCCCCCATCTGTGTCTATCCACAGATCCCAGGTGCAAAGACTCTAAGGCACATGGATATTACACAATTAATAGCAGAACTAGCAGGTGCTTTTGGCTTCTTCCCTTACAGCTTTGTAGATTTGGCAGCACCTGGATTTAAAAGAAAAAGAAAAAAAAAAAAAAAACCCTTAGGTTGTCTGCCTTTAAATGCTGCCACTGAGCTATCACTCAAAGAACTTGTCAGCAAAATATTTACTACCTCTCGCCAGCATACTGTACATTTACACAGGACTTTTTAAATTGCCAAATGTTATGGTGCAAATTACTCCACAAGGAAGGGTTTTGTGAGTAACCCCCAAATGAACTCTGCGATGCCTGCAGTGTGGGCTTTTTGAATTCTTAAACCATTACAATTTTTGTTGGGATCTAAGAGTCATATAAAATTCAAACTGCACCGGACTCAACTCTGGAGTCTGTTCTAGCTCCAAAGCGGTTTATTGGAGAAGTTATAAGAATAAGAGTGAACTCTCTGGGCAGTGGCTAGCTCACCTTCTCCCCTTCCACCCTCTCCCAAACAAAACTGCACAGACATGCATCTGCCCATCTCGCTTGGGTGGGGAACCTGTGGCCTCTAGGCCATATGTAGCCCTTCAGATTCCCAAGTGCAGCCCCTCGACCAAATCCATACCTCACAGAACAAATCCCTTTATTAAAAGGAATCGTTTTGTAAAATTTGGATTTAGTCAAAAGGCCACGCTCAAGGATCCAGAAGGCCACAGGTTCCCCACCCTTGGAAGACACCCATTTAGGTATAACAAAAGCAGCCCCCAGGATCCTGACTGTCTAATGTTGAGTCAGAATATTCTTTGGAACTTCCACACGATGGGTCTATACCCTCCCATGTGACAGACAGCTCTTCAAAGGTTATTCGACGTCCAAGGACACTGACCTTGTCAGTTAGGATTCAGAAGCATTTTACCAGTTTTGGTCATGGGCTAAAGCAGAAAATAACAGAATTTAATAGGAACAAGCTAAACTCCTGCTCTTGGCTCTGAAACCAAGTGTGCAAAAGTCAGGATTGTGGAACGGCAACTAAGGGATGGGAGCTTAGAGGTTCTATGGAAAGTAAGTCCATCTCTGAGTGTCACATATTGAGGTCTGTTGACTAAGAAGATGCATTCATGAGGGGTGGGTCGAGGGATGATGGTTTCTAGGAAACACCAGAAAATATTTCTGCTAGTTGACCTGCTCCACAAGGGGAGAACTCTTGTCGGTATGGATAACTCCTTCAAGTTACTTCTAAAACTACGAATCATAAGTCCTTGGTTGTTTGTGGAATGCAGTGTTAGCTAGCATTAACTGATCTATCCACTTAGTAAATACAGATACTGTTCTAAACGCTTATGTGTGTTTATTCATTTACTGCAAAAGGAAAAACTCTGTGCCCAGGCTCTTGCAATTTGGTCAACTGAAGCTCAGCAGGATGGAATTACTCTGGACATGGGCCAGGACACAGCCCCAGAAACTACCAGATACATAATCCACAGAGTTATACAGGCCTTTGGTTTTACAACCCAATTGTAAGATGAGGCACTATATGGGCACAGAGTTTCCGATCACAAGACTGGGGCTGGCTGAGAAAAGCTCCCCGTACTGGACACCGAAATAACCATTCTGGCATTCCATCCCTCAGGTTCCTTCCAGCCCAGCTCAAAATCCACCTCATCCTGGAAACTGTCCTTGTATCTAGTGGCTCTGAGAGTATTAGCCAGACTTTAGGAGTATCCTGAAAATGCCTGCAATTGGTTAACTACTACTTAATCTACCCCGATTCTGACTCTACAGTAACACACACCTGCTTATTATCAACATTAAAGATCTAAACAAGTGAACTGCCAGGTACAGTGGTGCATGCCTACAGTCCCACCTATTTGGGAGTCTGAGGCAGGAGGACCACTTGAGATCAGGAATGCAAGGGTCCAGTGAGCTATGATCAAGCCATTGCACTCAAGCCTGGGCAACAAAGCAAGACCCTCCTTCTAAAAAAAATTTTTAAAAATAAATAAATAAATAAGTGAATTATGCACAGAATACCTGTAGTTGCAGAGCCGGTATCTTCACCTTCCCATGCATCCTTTGAGCAAGGGAGTCAGCTTTCACTCAATTCAGTCAATGAAGAACACAGAACTGGGGGCAGGGGCTGGGAGGAGAGGTGGTATGAAGACTCCAACTTATGTTGGCTCCAAACCTATCTCACCCACAAGCCATGGAGCTCAAACTCAATCTCTAAGAAGCTGAGGTTTTCATTTGTAAGATAGAGATGATAAATTAAATTCACTCCCAATACCGAAAAATCCATTAAGGGATGGAGGGACTCTACTACCCCACAGAGCTAACATAAAGATTTAGTAAGATCATGAGCAAAGGTGCCCTGGCATCCATAAAACCATGAATAGACGTTCACTTGTGTTCAGGTCTGTCCTCTCTAGACGACGGTATGCCCCATGTGATGGGATGGTAAAGATGTGGAGGAGCTTCCTCTATTGGTTCACTTTGGGAAATCAATTTACCAAGAATCCACTTCTTTAAGGTCTTCAGATGACTAAATGGAAAATTTAAATTGGTGATGAATGCCTTTATTTCTAAAATTCATCTAAATCTGAACTTTCATATTCTTCTGGGCAGTGTGATTCAGGGTATATAACCCTTTCCTCAGACTGCTTACATGGAAAGAGAGAAGGGAAGTCTTGTTTCTTGGAAATATATTTTTTAAAAAGTGTTATTATGTAGCCTCCATGTGCCTCAGTTTCTATCATAAACACTTTCCTGAAAGCTCCTTTTTTCCTCAAATTCTTCCCAGCCGCACTATAAGAAGCTCCAAAAACAACTGTTACCAATGATCCAAATATCCTGCTAACTGGCCCAACGGCCACAGTCCCTAAATGGCGAATTCACCGTAACCCACTGGCACGTCAAAAAGAGTAACACGAGCACAGCGGAGATATCATGTGTGCATTCAGACAACACACGGTTTATTACAAAAGCCTGGGGGATGAAGGAGTAAGACAGTCAAATGAAGGTGCTTCTACACCAACTCTGTCCAATGAGGGGTAGGACAGGACACAGGAATCTGCTGCTCCCTTCATCTTAGTTCCTGTGGGTCTCTCATAATGTCAGCTTCTCGTCCACTTCCACGTGATTTAAAGGCTCTTTTAAAAAAGGGGGTTAATTTTAACCAATCCTCCTGACTAATGAAATGACACCAAACATGAGGGTCACCAAAAAGTCCACACAGCTTGTTTTAGCCAGTGTCTTAACATTCTATGAAACCACAGAAAGAGCCGGAATGGAGTTAGGACTCTGTGTCCGCCTGAATAACCCAGGACCACACGGCACTTGCAGCTCCCACGTGCGAGCATGCTCACTGTTAACCGGAGGGAGGCCAACTGACCCATTCACATCCCTTGCGTCCCCACAGACGCCACCCGGAACAGGACCCAGTAAGTGGTCTGCCAATGCTGCCCCCACCTGCCCTCCAGCATCCGTCCCTGAGGGCAGGCACTGCTACACCTGCACAGTGTTCCCAGTGCTCGTACGGGGCCTGGCACACAAATATCCAATGAAAGAATGACCCAAAAACCACGCGACACAAACATTCTTTGAACTTTCACCCAAACTTGCCACGAGAAAAGGAAGCGTTTCAGCGGCTTTCCAATGAGTAGCAAGAGCTCCAAAGGAAATC